CCACTCAGATGCCAGCATAAAACCTTCTTAAAAATACTGCCAGGCACTGTCACACACCCCTTGGGAGGCAATAATCAGTCAAGAACCACTGACCTAATATATATACAAGTAACATTATACAGTCTGAGCAGGTTTCTTTACATACACACGCAACTCACAATAATTAAAGAGGTCATGAAGTTGAAAGAGAACAGGGGGTGGGTCGTATATTGGAGAGTTTGGAGGGAAGAAGGGAAAACAGAAATGATGTAATTATATTATAATTTAAAAATTATTTAAAACAAAAAACAAATACTGTCCTAAAGCTAGCCAGTCCATGGTGAGAAGTAGAACAGACACCAGGCAGGAGGAAAACATGGTAACCCTTTAGGCCATCAGGACCCAAAATCAAGGGCCAAGAATGCTCTGAGCAGAATTGTTTATAAAAAAAAAAAAAAAACAACCCAGAAACAAATCAATGACCACTAATAGAAAAATAACAGAATATTTCCTATCAGAAAAATGAATAAACCAACAATTTAAATAAAATGTACCAAACAAAAAAGGCTGAATGAAAAATTAGTCCTTAGCCGGGCAGTGGTGGTGCATGCTTTTAATCCCAACACTTGGGAGGCAGAGACAGGCGGATCTCTGTGAATTTGAGGCCAGATTGGTCTACAAGTGTTAGTTCTAGGACAGGCACCAAAGTTACAGAGAAACCTTGTCTCAAACTCCCCCCCCCAAAAAAAAAGAAAAAAGAAAAATTAGTCCTTAAAGACAATATATAATAGCTTTCAAGTACACTAAATAAAAAAATGGGAAAATGAAAAATTATACTTAGTAATACAAATAAAGCCCCTTGAGGAGTGATGAGCAAGGGAGGGAGAACTGACACATGCTGCAGATAGATAATATGTCAGTGGTGGCAGGGTTTATATTACTAAAGATTTTAAAACATTAAAAAAAATTATCTATGTGTATGTGTGTCTGAGTGCAGGTACCAGAGGAGACCAGAAGATGGCGCTGGAGGCCCTGGAGCTGGAGCTACAAGTGGTTGTGAGCTCCCCAATGTGAGTGCTAGGCACAGACCACTCATCCTTTTGAAGAACAGCAAGCCTTAAGCACTGAGACATCTTTCCAGCATCTCTATATTATTAAATAGATATGAAAGGGTCATACCTAGATCAGCAATAACACATGTCATTAATCAAAGATTGGGATAAAACCAAATTACAAAAACTTTACAACCTTCTGAGCCCTATCCCAGCCTGGTCTCTGGACTTGGGTGGTTCCCATCTTCCATCTCCTCCTGGTCTCCTGTACTACAGTCATCCCCTGAAAATCTCTTTACTTGAGTTGCCTCCCTTGGACCTTGCTTCACTACACCTGGGTGGGTCTGGTCTTAGTTCCCAGCACAGTGTCCACTTCCCCCAGCACCACTCTTTCCCATGTTCCTAGTCTACTTCTGTCCCTTAACCTTGTCATTCTAACAGAGGTAAGGCAGCAGCGGCTGGTCTCTCTGCTCCTACTTTCTACACTGCAATGGAAGCCCTGGAAGTGTGGAGACCCCAACTCTCAGATCTATCTCCTTCTGAAAGGTAGGAATCCCTTCTGCAGCACAGCTCATGTATCAATCTGATGCCAGGGCAGGGACGCGCCAAAGGGCCAAAGGGCCACAGGGTCAAAGGGCCACAGGGCCAAAGGGCCACAGGGCCAAAGGGCCACAGGGCCACAGGGCCAAGGGGCCAAAGGGCTGGGCTTCTGGGGAACTCTGACAGTTGCTTTTCTTTTACAAGCTACCCTGGGAAAGTTTCTCTTAGATCCACTTGCAGGAGCAGAACTGCTGGGTGCAGGGCAGTGGTTCTCAAGGTGATGTGGGCGGGTTGTCATCTCTCTAGGAGTTTAATATATTTCTCAAAATGTACTCCACAGCTCCAGCTGCTCTTGGGGTACATGGAGTGGAGATTTAGGGTTCTCTGCCTAGAGCAACCAACTCAGGACTTCTGAGCAGCCTGCAAGGAATATGCATTGTGGGAAATTATCCAATGACTCTGAGGACCACTCAGGTACGAAATCTACTGAACTCAGTGAAGAAATCCAAGTGTTAGCAGAGCAGCAGTTCAGTTGCTAGTGAGTTTCCCCGAGGACTCCGCCAACCAGGACGTAGTGAGATGGGATAGCATGCCCAGTGGTTCAAAGAAGGCAGCATCATTGAAGCAGGAGGGCTAATGAGTAGTTTTGGAGAGATGTGGACACACACCTAAGGTTTTGTAAATCAAATTAATATCTAAATAAAGGTTATAAACTACTAGGGTATATTTCAAACATTCCAGTGCAAGCTCCATTTTCTTATGTTTTATACCTAGTCGATCAGTCAAACGCTGGAGATGATAATGTTTTAAGTGATGCAAGAAGCCAGCAGCTTGCTCCAGTCTGACTCAGTTAAGCTCTTACAATATTTTGACTGTTGGAGGAAAATTAATAATGGGATGTTAGGCGGTAGATTAGCTGAAACTAAATATCAACACAGCTAGATTTATTTTTGGATGACTGAGCTCATCCCTTCAGAGAACAGAAACAGCCCTCATTATACCACGAGTCACTAACTCACACGGCAGCAGGACAACTCCCAGCGAGCAGAGCTGTGTGCTGCACACAAGAGGCTGAGAATTTAGATGGCACATTAGCTATGCTTTGGAATGTACAGGCCACAGGTGATGATCTAGGGCTCACAAAGACACTGCTGGAGACTTCACCAGCAACTGGTTGGCTGATCAGGATTAAGCCAGTTCAATCCCCTACAAGGAGCAGGTAGCCTGTGAACCAAGGTGCACCACTGAGGTCAACCAGGCTTTTCTATCTTGGCATTCAGTTAGTGTTTACTTAGGTACCTAATTGCCCCTAGCTTCATCACATCTTGCACACATGCACTAGCCAGCAGAGTTACTATGCACATGGGGAGGGTCCCAGTGTATTTCCCAGGTTGAATGTGGCTCCTTTTTCTGAGGGGCCTGAAGCCCTGGTGCTTCCAGACCAACAATAAAAAGCCACTTTGGCTTTGGATGAGCCAAATTGACCCTAGCTGCCTAAGACAGAAGCCTCAAAAAGTGTCAAGTTGCCCTCTTTCCCCCATGCTTTCTACATAGTGGAGAGGCTACCAACTAAAGCTGTGGGATCCCAAATTTCAGACTGCCTGGAAGTGAACACCAAATGGGTTCACCCAATCATGCCTTTTGTCAATGGACTGACAGTGACTCTGCTTCCTATGCAGATGCACAAGCCAGACAAGAACCTGCTCACACAGCAGAAACTGGAGACCTCTAACGTCAATGGAATTGGTGAAACTAGGAGTTAGACTGGGGCTTATGAGTGCGCGTGTGCGTGCATGTGTGTGTGTGTGTGTGTTACATAAAATACAAAGCTGGAAATAGTACCAGCATATTCAAAGAGAAAAACTGCTCAAGTGGACTTCAAAAATTATGTATTACAATATACATTACATTTACTAATGAAATATTGCAAACGCAGAAAGCTCACATCCTTTCCATTCACTGGGCAAAAGTAAAAATGCACACACAACCAGCTTTTCTGAGATGAAGGGGCTGAGTGAAGAACGGCTTACCTGGGTGACTGGTGATCTATACACAGGAAGAAGCCATAGCGGGGGTGAGGTCACATGGGACTCAAGGCAGCAAGACTACAGGCAGAGCCTTGCCTCCCTAGTTAGGCCCACCAAAGCCCATCCTTTTTTTGTTTGCTTGTTTTGTTTTTTGAGACAGGGTCACTGTGTAACAGCACTGGTTGTACTGGAACTCACTCTGTAGACCAGGCTAGACTCAAACTCACAGAGATCCAACTGCCTCTCTCTGCCTCCTGAGTGCTAGGATTAAAGGTGTGCGCCACCACTGCCTGGCAGAGTCCATTCTTTGTACAACATGTTGCCATAAAACACGTGTCCCAGGAGGACCCCATCACACACAGATATCAGAACCCCTCTCATCCCACAGCACATCCCTAACCTCCAAAGCACACTGTCTTTGGTCAATTTATGAAATACAAACGTTAGTGGACTGTGAGGTCAGAATTCTCAGTGCAAATCCAAAAGGAACAACAGACTCAAAAGTCACTGGTGACAAAGGTTCAGATGCTTTTTCCTAAACTGAGAGAGTGGTAAATGACTTCCATAGCCCATGAAGTCCTGAGGCAACATGTTTATTCTCTTTAGCAGGACAGAATAGCTGAGAACAACTCAGTCTAATCTCTTAGGGAAAATAGAAAATTTACCCCAACACTGCTGGGGAGGTTTTTACATGACCTGACTTCAGGCCAAATAGCTTATGGTGCCTTCCTGCTCTTGGTAACTTTCACCAGGGCTGCAATTTGCTCAAAATCAAGGTTTCAGAGTGCAGAGTGTTTATCCTAAAGCACTGGTTCTTAACCTGTGGGTCGAGACCTCTTTGGGGGGGTCTACTGACCATTTCGCAGAAACACAGATATTAACCTTATGATTCATAACAAATAAGAATGAGAGTAATTTTATGGTTGGGGGTCACCACAACATGAAGAACCATATTAAAGGGTTGAAGCCTTAGGAGAACCACTGCCCTAAAGGATGCCAAGAAAGAAAAAAAGCACGTTCCTTGCTACTCAACTGGGATTTCATCTCCAGTGTCTAGAGTTTCTGTAATAAAGAATTATGTGTTTGTATTGTGTCCGTGTGTGTGTGTCTGCGCTCATGCGTGCAGGCCAGAAGTGGGTGTCAGGTGTCACTCTCCACCTTACTATTTTTAGACAAGGCCTGTCACTGAAGCTAGGGCTCGCTCACCAACTGAGTTGTGCCACCGTGCTAGTTCACTGCAGGCCGTTCCTGCTTCTCTCCTCCAGTACTCGGCCCGCAGTGCATGTTAGCATACACAGCTTCTGGCACTTCACTGAGTCATCTCCTCAGCCTCCACAGGGAGCTGAGCTTCAAGATAGGTTTTTCCTCCACATGTCCCCACACACAGGCAAGCAGATCTTACCAGAAGCATTGCCGAGGTGCCATTGGGTCTGGACAAATGAATGGACATTTCTGGAAACATCCTGTCAATGCGGCTGATCACATCATCGACGTACCTGGGTGAGGAGGAAGTACATAAGCATGAATCTGAGTCCCACTGGAAGCTGGGAATCCACCGGTGTGAAGACTTCCCTTCACACCTCGTACCCAACTTTTAGTTGTTGTGATGCCTTTTGAAGAAGACAAGATTATGAGGCCCTTATGAAAACTTCTTTTTCCCTCCCATGACCCTTTGCAAAGGGGCTCTGTTTTAAGTGATTATATCTACATTTTAAATGAAGTACCCTGAAAGCAGCTTAACTCTCCACTGGGATATGTATGTCCCCTCCACAGGCCTCCAGTATAAGCAAAGCCCTATGCTTCAGCCATGTCTTCTTTAGTCGGACCTGATAGCTAGCTGTGTTTTCAGTTTTCTTAGATTTCTGCTTGGCTTTTATTTGCTCAGCTTTCTATGTCCCTATTACCACGTTATTCCTAACTTTATTTCTAAATTCCACGACTCTAAAACCTTTCTTAGCAATAGTCAAATATATCAGGCGAGCTAGAAGTTCCATTTTCACCTCTCTGCTGGCCTCCATCTCCCAGGGTTTAATACTCGCCGGGATCACTGGCACTAAGCTTTGGCATGATGCCGGGTACTTATTAAGGACTCACAGATGACAAGTGTGCTGGCGGGTGGTCCCAAGAGCCCTCCTGCCCTGCAGTGGAGTCTCAGTGGAACATGCCGGCCCACAGCACACACAGAGCTGGCTCTGCTCCCTACATAGGAAACCATGCCAGCTCACTATCCAGCCACACTGACACAAAGGATGTGCACAATTCACCAGCCAAGACTCCAAACTTCCCATTAAGTGGTCTTGGGATGGGTTTCACATCCACTAGATGTAGTAAACTAAATTCCATGCCCATTACACCAGGGACACACTAGGTATACTTTCTAGGGAAAAGCAGAGGTAAGCTCCTTGTCCGCAGGATACAGAGTTTCAGTTAGATACCTGGGGCTCAGGAGAGACAGCGCACAGGACACCATCTGTTAGACCGTGAGCACCACCATTCTGCTAATGAAGTCAGAAAGTAGCTCTCAGGATCAATGTGTCAGGTTTCTTGTGGAAGGAGGACGGGAGGGACTGCAGAAGGCCTGGTTAACTACTAACAAGGGCCGTGGGCAGGGGGAGCAGAGGCAACAAGAGGAGGGGGTGCTGTCTGGGGTGCTCCCGCAGGAGGTGGCAGCAGGGCTTAGTCCTCAAGGAGCCCACTGATCCCGTGGTGCCACACCAGCGGCTGCCTTCCCCTCAAGAAGAGCATAATGTGCGGCTCGCCATTAAAAGCTGAACTTGCTCCAGGCATTTCTTGAAGGCAAGGCCCCACCCTACTAAGATGTAGCAGTTTTGGAAATGTCATTCCTGAGTGACTAAGAAACACTGCGGTCTTCTGCGATCCCCTTGACTCACAGCCTCATAGGACATCCTGGCATCTAAGCACGAATGCTCCTGTAGAGGTGACTGGAAGAAGCATCAGCGTGGCCCTTCCTGGTGTCTGCTGGACAAGCAGAAGATGCATGACAAAGCCGTGCCAACTCGGGTGCTGGCAATGCTTGTCTTCGGACACTCTGAATCTATATGTGTGGTTTCAACCCATTTCTCCAGACTCAGCGGAAGCAAACAGCCTCTGTCCTGTGTGAATGGAGGTCACTGCTAAGTATATGCTAATGTGAGGGGCAGGCAGGGTCTTCTGCGCGGTCCTCAATCAATAGCCATCATAGCTCTGGAAAGGAACTCAATGCATATGCACAAGTTCAGCCCAAAGAAACATGACCTGCTCCGCCTTGTTATCTTTCACCTTGAAACCTTCTACAGACCACCTGGAAAATCAGACTCCTTCCCAGGCTGGAAAACCTGAACAGCGGCTATGTGATGATCCTGGGCCACACATGAAGTTAGAGCCAACTTCACCTTGAATTTTCCTAGAATTCCAAACCAGCCACCTGGTCCAGATTTCTTTTGTAGCATTCAGAGTTGCAGTGGGCAAACAGTAAGCATCCCTGGCCATTTCTGGACCCTACTGACAATAGGGACCTTTATTTGGAAGGGAAGGTATGGCAGAAGGAAGACAGTTCCTAGGAAAGGTATCTCGGCTGGCACAGGAAAGCTAAGAGGCCTAGGGGGGGTTTTCTGTGGTTTCCTCCTGCCTGCCCGCCCGCCCGCCCGCCCGCCTGCCTGTGATCTTAGATAAGGCTCAGCAAACTCATTTGAAAATTCCATTGAGCAGAAATGAATTTTAAGGAGACTGTTTTTCTTCGCAGGTCTAACATAAAGGAGATGCAGATTCCTTTGTTACAGGTGACATTATGCATTTGCCAAAAAAGAGACCAAAGAAAGTCAGCCGCACCTTTAGCTGAGGAAAACAGTGTCTAGATTTTAGATGCAGAAATCAAAACACTTCATTTTTAAATAGACCCAGCCTTAGAGATACAAATGAGCCACGAGTACGTTGACAGAAACCAGGGAGGCTTGCCACACCAGATTAAAAGTCTGGAGGCAAAAATGGTTTGCTTTCTGCTGAGGGTGGGGCTGGTATGTATGTGTGGGGGGTGGTCTTTGGCAGTTCAGAATGCTGCCTCCCAAGACAGCGGGCACTGCTTGTCTGCATGGAGCTTGCAGAGCACGCTGTCGGCCCGCTGCCTCTAGAGCAGGGCTAAGGACAGGTAGGAACGGCTTGCTCTCCTCCCACACTGACACCATATGTCACACTTGCTTTGTGGCAGAATCAAATTACTTTAATTTTTACCTTTTGAGTGCAGGCAAACAAGCAGCCACACCACAGTGGTGACGAGTCCACACTTGAGCAGACGCGGCCCCGTGGAAAGACATTAATTTGGAGCCAAATTGAGCAGTGAGTCACAATTTGCACATATCTGTCAACCTGTTAACAGGGTAATAACTTGGAAGGACTGCTGTTCCTATTTACATTACAGGAGGCTTTAGAAAATGGAGAAGCTGCTGGGTTCTCCTTTACTCTAACACAGCGTAAGAACTTGCCTGGAAACACAAAATTCTAGAAACCACAGGTTCTGATCAAGGTGTGAATCTTAATTTTTAGTATTTTCAGGCAAAAAGTGAACTTTTAAGCAACTAGTGTTTCCTGTTTCTCTGCCCTGTACCTGATGAAGACCATGCACTCGGTAGTTTCTGAGATAAACTTGTGCAGAGCAAACAGAACTCCCCTCCAGGTCCCCGGTGGTGCCCTGGGACTGGACTGCAGACTCACTGTTTAGTGTCTCTGCCACAGCAGGCAGCAGAAAGCACCCTCCCCACCCCACTCCCTAGACGAACACTCAGGCCTGGGCCCTAAGCCTTGTTTTCCTGTTTCTTTAAATGGCCTTCACAGGAGAACTGAATGACACTGGGGACCCCAAAGTCCTCTCACCCAGCAACCCATTGAGAGCTTTTCCAAGAAGTGGTCTGCATCTCATAGCACCTCACAAGGCAGTTCTTGATCTGTAGGATGGCCAGTATCTCCATGTGGCCACATCCCATCAGCGTGGCGGAATGTTACTCAGATATTTCTTCCAAAAGCTAAAGGCCTTTTGTAAATATGTAAAACTGTTGGGTCCTCCAAATTCCTGCCTCGGCACTGTTCAGTCTTTCTTGGGTCCCACAGCCCTAGGAGAAGGTACTGCAAACTAAAGCTGCAGTCTCCACGACAGTCTCCACACAACCCCTGCAGCGCCATCTGTGGACCCTGACTGCAGTAGCCATGTCTAGACCCTTCCAGAATTAAGGACTCTGGTTTTCTTTTGCTACCTTCTGAATGGGACTTGTTTCTCAGCAAAGGTGTTTTCATGGAGAGGGTATCCGGCCCGCCCGCCTGCCTGCGTCTATCAGGTGCTGGCCTCGCCTGAAAGGAGCACAGCTACAGCAGTGTGGACGACGTCTAGCAGCTGTGTGGGCCGCAGAGCCAAACTTCGACAACTGCTAGGAGAGCTTCTCTACCTTTCAGCTGACAAATTAAATATTGAGCGTATCTACCCTGTGTGTGTGTTCCGAAATAAGCACACATTATGGAATCTATTATCAAGCTAATGAACACATGCCTTATCTCACATACCACTTCTGAGGTCAGAAAAAATTTAAGGATGTGATGAACTATCACTAACTCTAGCTGCTATGCTCTATAATGGAGTTTTCGAATTCGTTCCTAAGACTGTATCCTTTAGAAAACATCTCTCCTAGCTGACCTCCCATTGCAAGCCCTTGGTAACCACCATTTTACTGTCTTCCTCTATGAATCAAACTCTTTCATGTTTGACACATGAATGACACCTTGTAATAATTCATCTGTCTGTGCCTGCCTTATTTCATTTAACACAACAACTTCCATGCTCCTCCAGATTGGCAGGGTCTCCTTCTTGTTAAAGCATCCATTGTGCCCACACCATGTTTTCTTTATCTGCTAACACACTGACGGACACGTCTGATGATGCCAGCTCTTGACTACTGTGACTAACACTGCAGTGAGCATGCGCACAGATGTCTCATCAATGTTCTGATCTTATAGCCAGAAGTGGGGCTGCTAAGTCACATGCTACTTCTATTTTTAACCTTCTGAAGAACTTCCCTGCTATTTCCCGGCACTCACATTCCCTCCACCAGTGTGTAAGCATCCCTTCCCCCACTCTCCTTTCAGCACCCATCTCTTGTAACAACTCTGTCATGAACCTATCTGCAGGACCTAGCCATACCACCCATGCCTTCTAGGAAAGTGTGTTCTGCTTTCTGAGGCAGAGCTCAGAGGGAACTTAAGTCTCAAGTCCTCAGAGGCCAAGGAGATCCTTTAGTGCAGCGGTTGTTACCTTCTAGCCTCAGCTGCCACCATCTTCCCGCACTCAAAAGTTCTTCCTGGAACACTGTGCTCAGATGGGCCACCACAAAGCCCTGGGCACTCTTCCTTAGGCTAACGTCCTCAGGAACACCTTCCCTGCCCTGCCCTTGTTCCCAGCCATCAATCCGGACACCCTATCTCATGCAGCACTTTCAAATTGTCACCTCTCCACATT